TGGGGCTGTAATGCCAAGGAAAAAAATGTAGAGTTGTCCCTGTTCTCAATTAATTAAGTGCTATGCCATGAAGACATATGAACGAATGGAGGTACAGCTCCACCACTCTTGATCTCGGAATGAGATGGAGCTGAGTGTGTATGAAGTACATACGATATACACGCTGACCATAAAAGGATGAAAGGCAGTATTCCAAAAAAGAAACAAGACAGAATTACAAGTTTATGGGCACGATATTTCAAAAGAGCCTCCCTCTGCGACATGACAATATTCTGAGGTCGAGGGCAAGTTGCGGCTGCTTATGCACCCAGCACCGCTCCAGGAAATAGAACCGACGCATGTAAACACGCAGTTAGCCTTTACTGGGCTGTATAAGAGGAAATGGTAGCTATTTTAGATATGTAAGTTACGCCATTATGTCTTACGAAATGGTATGGATATTGCCCACGTAAAGCGTCCGTCCGAGGGTTTGGAAAGAGGGAAGTTTTCCTTTTTCCCTTACAGCGAGACACACATTTGTGTGCTGTTTTCCATTTCTAGCAACCCCCCCCCCCGAACCCTCGTCCTTGAACAGAAGAGGATGCAAATCTTTAGGGATAACGAATCCAGTTCCATTTTACTTGTGGCGAACCTGGTGTCAGAAATCAGAAGATTCCTCAGAGCACAATTGGAGCCCACAACGTCTCTATAGGGAGGGAAATGTTTATCACTTTGCAAAGCGTTTTTTTTTTCAGGAGGCACGCGGTAACATAGTCGGCTGAGGCACTATGCTACAAGCCGGAAAGTCGCGGGTTCTTATCCCGATGTCATTGGTTCTTTAAACTGACCTAATCCTTGCAGCTGCAATATGGCCCCGGGTTCGACTCAGCCTCTATGAGAAATGAGTACCAGAGATCTTTCTGGGGGGTAGACGTTGGCCGGCGCGTAAGTCTGACAACCTCACCGCCATCTGTGTCTAGAAAATGTGGGAACCTCGACGTCTCACAACCCTATGGGCCTTCACGGCTTGTTATGGGGATAGCTTGACCTTTACATTTTGATGAATGATCATATCTTTACATTAATTTGTATTCAATGTGAAGCTATGCAAGGAAACAAAATTGCACGTTACGTTTCTGACTTGGTTTGTGGATGAACAGATCAACTTTAGATAGATGCATGTATTTTGAAATGATGCAAATCAGATTCTATGGATATTACATAGAAACGCTCCAAAAATAGTCGCGGATGCAGCCAAATCATTGATTTTATGAGCTTCCTGAACCATGCACATAACAGGAAAATCTTCAATTTTATACAAACTCAAAATGGAAAAAGAATTATCCAGACGGACGCGACGGGGAGAGCTCAATCAATGAGAGTGCTTTTTTCCTTTGTGAAGCCTTAATCTTCACTTATCGACCACAAACACGTCATAACAAAACCGCAGAACCAATTTATTTGAAATGTTTTCATTGTTCCTCTTCGACATTGATTTACTACTTCTAGCGGAAATTCTGCCGGACTGCGTATTTCCTTATCCTCATCGCTCTGGTTCATTCATGATGTTCCGTGAAAACTTTTCGTCCAATATAACATATCAGGCTTAATTCCACAATTTTATAATATGCTGTTTATTTGATAAATTTAATATAGACATCCAATGGAAAAATGAGCCGGAGTAACATAGTCGGTATAGCAACTGCCTATGGGCTGGACGACCGAGGGGTCGGAGTTCGAGTCCCAGTAGGGTCAGAAATTTCTCTTCTCCACGTCGTCCAGACCGGCTCTGGGGTCCACCCAACCTCCTATCCAATGGGTACCGAGGGATCTTTACCCGGGAGTAAAGCGACAGGGGCGTGACGCTGACCACTCACTTGCAGCTAGTGCCGAGGTCAAGAATACGTGGATCTATACATCCATTCCCCCATACCCCTTCATGGTGTAGTGCTTAATTAGTTAAGCACAGGAACGGCTTTACCTTTATCCAATGGGAAAGGGACGTCTTTCTAACTACACCACGCTAATATTGAAATTAAAAATATACATTTAACTACAACGTGATTATTCAATTTTCGTATTAATTAGTTTTAACATATAATATAAAACCGACTGAACGAGCGAGCGACAGCCGCTTGTCGACGAAGGTAGTTCCAGCTTTAGCGTATAGAGGGTGTCGCGTNCGCTCCTCAGTTATCCTCACTAGGCTGAGTGGACCCCGTTACAGACCCACAACTTCTCAGAAAATCTGGTAGCGCCGGGAATCGAACACGGGTCCTCTGGATCTGTAGCCAGGAACTCTGACCACTAGACCACAGAGGAGGTCGGTATAGTTCGCTTGCAGACTAAAGCCAACCAGTTTTTCTTATAATATAAAACAAATCCGATTATATCACAAAAATACACAAGACACACTTAAGTCCTGATGGCGGCGGAAAACTATGTTTCTAAAACCTTGACACATCTCTCGGTGTAAAACATCAACAACAACAAAAACTAACTAAAGGTGCTACACTTTTACGCACCTATGTTTCAATTTGTATTATGAGTTTAGTCTTGGAGTGTGGGGTGAGACTGAGTCCACTTGGTACGTCGGCCATTAACTGGCCTACTGTACCAGCCCCGGATCATAGATGATGATTGTGGAGCAGTCGGTGGAATGAGAATTTGCAGGAGAAAACCTGCCCCAGTGCCACTATGTCTACCACAAATCGCACATGACCTGAACCGAGCTCGAACCCGAGCCCCCGCGGTGGGAAGGCGGTGACTAATCCCCTGACCTATGGCACTGCCATTTTTCTTATTAACAACTCAACTGGTCTAGAGTCCTTAACGACCACGTTAACACTTTGTATTGCCTGGAACCTTCTTACCTCAACCAATCAATAAAATGCATAGGAATTTTCCACTCCTTGAAACTTAGCAGTTGTGGATATCCTAACACATAACTTTCGCGAATCAATTCGACTCTTTTAATTTTCCCGTGGTCTGTAAAGTACTATATCACGGTCATTACTGTGACACTAATATTTTCCCTTTTCTTCCCCCAACTTCCTCATCTGCAACTCCCTCCTTCCGCACGGTTGCTTCGCCCACCCTCTTGCCAGCTTCAGACTGTTTCGACATCAATTTCCACCTCACCCCTTATTCCTCTCTCATTTCTTGCTCGAGGAAATATCAAGATAAGGGATAAGAAAAAATATGTTAGAAGTATAGAATAAGTTATATTTCAGACTGGCAATGAAGATCACAGTGTCTACTAGGATTTTGCTTATACTAGTCAAATCTATGTTCCCAAGATGCAACTCGCTAAGCCGTGTCCTGAACGAAAAGAATCCACTACACACACCCTACCAAACGGCCCATCTAACATCTATTTAAATAGTATGTTCACATCTGCCTCTGGATTTACCAAACGGTCTCATCTCTTCACACTTTCCGCTTTGGTATACATTTGCTACAATATAAATACTTGATAATAATTATGAAACTGTCCGCCATGAAATTACTTCCAGCGTCCTCTCAGAAATATTCGTCCCAGTATCATGTTCTTAAACCCTCTTAATCTATGTTCTTCCCTTAGGGTGAGGGATCAAACGCACGTGCATAGAAACATGTGAATTTATGACAGTTTTGTTGTATACTTCGATATTTACGATTTGAGACAGGAGATGGGGAGGCAGAGGCTTCTAAACTGAACAGTAGCTAGAATTCCCAGAATTCAATATGGTCTTGACTTCCTCGTGAGCGCGACTTTGATTTGTCACTGTCATTTCAAATATTTCTCCACACTCCGAAAGGTCTATTGTCTCTATTACGATCATAATGTAATGGGATATTTAAACAGTTGACACAGAGGATTTTGCTTTGGCATTATACTCGGCAAACTTGGGGCAAAATTACAGCAATGTTTCCCACATTTCGTTAGCATGTAAAGGGTAGGCTTACATTGAAAAGCAACACAAATCTGGTAGTTACCATAGGATTCTGACGAGGGTGTATGACACATAGAGATATTGGGTTTTCGGACTTTATCCATCGTCCTGGGTTTTTTTAAGATAACTAAGAAAAACATGGCGTTTCGGAAACTGGATCTGTTTCCGTCCTCAGGAGAGGAAAAAACACATATTCTGTTGGGTCCCTTAGAATCACTGGACCAAACCTGAGGATGGAAACAGATCCAGTTTACGAAACGTCGTTTTTTTCTTAGTTATCTTAAAAAAACCCAGGACGATGGATAAAGTCCGAAAACCCAATATCTCTGTGGAACACAAATCTGGTTTCACATTCCGAGCATGGAGCAATATCATTTGGGGCACTTCAGAGTCCCACATGAATGACACAGTGTGGTCTGGTAGTCCGAGTAAACTGTTGCCTCCATCAAAATTAAACCCTAAAGCCACAGCCTGCTCCACCTTCATCATCATCCGGGGCTGGTACAATTGGCCAGTTAATGGCCGACGTACCAAGTGGACTCAGGCTCACCCCACCCTAAGAAACTAAAAAGAAAGGCCAACTTAGTTCTCAGCATTCCTTTGAGAAAAACTGTCATATAACTTTTTATATTTTTTGAACGTAGATTTCAAAATGAATTAAACGTGTTGTAACCCTGCTCTTGTTTATGAATAAATTATCAATTTGCTACGATGCTCACGGACATGGCAACGGACCAGGAAATATCCGGACGCACATGGTAATCAGCTGTTTTAAATTACTAAACTGGTACGTTTAAATGGCGTTATTTGTATGAACGGAGTAAGAGAAACAAAAAAAAAATTCGAAATAGGGAATTGGGTCCCGAGATACGGTCCAGAAAATTTTCGCCCTAATACAAACTCCAGCGCTGCGCACACTATCACGGCCTAGAACAATCGAACCTCCCCTAAAAAAAAAAAAACATAAAACTCACCGTTAAATGTTGGAACAGCCACGCCCTCAAGATGTTGGTGGCCACTTTAGGAAAAATGCCGCGTTTCTTCTGGTTCTTCTTTCCGTTTGTATCATCATCTTCCTCCCCCGTCCCTTCACCGCTACCGATACTGGCATTACTCGCGTCACCTAAAACAAAACAATATCATCAAGCAAAGAAAATCATCGACAAGAAGGCACAAGTGTGCGGACGAAACAAGCACACTGACACAGGTCTACGGCGGCACACTGCCGAGTCTGACACGCAATCTCCTACTGCCAAAAGCATGGAGACGTAATATTGTAGGGATTTGTCTGCGTCTGAGCAGCATGCAGAAGTGGACGCCAAGTTTCACGTAGTCCTAACCTTAAACCAACACGAGCAGTCAGCCTCACGCTTCCGTCTCTTTGACCCTCACAAAAATGCTCTCAGCACACACCGGATGTGTGGGCTCCAGAGCCAATATGGACGAAGAGCGGAGACAAACCTTTCTGCTCGGAAATCTGACGTCCCGTCATCTAGCATCAAGCTCTCTTATTTTGTTGGATCTTCCTAATGACGTGTTCTAAAGCGAAGTTGAGAAGCGATGACAATTTGCATCACATGGAGCTTTATCCATGTTAGGTGGGTCCCTTGTTACCAAGGCATGGCGCGTCCTCAGGTTGCGGATGGAGGACACGGTCATCAGAAATGGACGATAGCTGTGAATATACTGAATAAGCAGCCGCGAACAGCTGATAAGGGGTGGTTCTCAAGCTTGGGAATTGTGCGTGGGGCTAACAACTCCTCGCTGTAAAAAATAATCTTGTTATCAAACATCACAAAAAGCCTCGGACCTGAATGGATTTTTTTTTTTGGATAAACGTAAGCTAAAGAAAACTGATATCTTGGCCAGCTGAGCCACTATTGGATATTTAAGAACTATACTCAACTGACTTGCAGTATAACGCATGGGTTCTTAAACCGTGCGTCGCGGCTGACCTCACTTCTGCAGAGTTTAATTGTGGTCGCTGAGTTACGAAGAGTTTGTGCAGTTTTCAAAGTCATTGAATCGATAACACTTAACATAGATGCTTTCGGAGGATGTAGCTGCAGCCAGCGAAATATTCCCCGAACATTTTCTTCACTGTACAGCAGAATGTTATAACTCGATGCAGGAACAGAGATGATGTAAAGTTGTTAGGTTCCTGCTGTCACCGTAAAAACTGATCTGGACCGGCGGCAGTGCGGAGAACTGCACTTTTAGCTGGATGGCAAAGATGAGGGGGAGGGGGTGGAGTAGCATATATAATTATGTATAAAAATAAAACCCGTGGCTCCAGTCTGCAAGCGAACTATACCGACCGAGTGACCGCCGCTTTTCGGCGAAGTTAGTACCAACTTTAGCGGATAAAGGGTGTAGCGTGGTCAGCCCAGTGGATCCCCTCGCCCGCTAGTTTTGGTTTTCTACACCGGAGCCGCTATTTTCTTGAAATTATCTCCTATATATAATTTTTGGGGCTCGAGGTATTACAAAACCGTTTACTTATAGGAAAAACACAATATCTAATTTATAAATTGATCCATTACTGAAAATATAACGGATTATTAAGAACTGATTCATCAACGAAACAAAAGACAACGCTGTCAAACATGAATCTCCTAATAACTCTGTTACAATATGGCCGAAATAGCATCTAACTCAGGGTCAGACAGGCCATGTCACGACGAGGTAAAGAGTTGAGATTAAAGAATCATGACTTACTGCAATTTTACACAGTTCTGGTAGAGGTGTTGTAGAATGGAAAACCCACAGGTAGGTGACGCGCGCTTAACACTCGCAATCGAGTCCCAAAGCTGTCGATTACAGCGACTGTGACGTGACCATGTTGTTACGAGCAGCTGTACGTAAAACTGTTCGCCCAGTGAGTGAGACATGTCTGTCACCAGATCGCGTGTGTCCCACAGCACTAGCGTGAACAAGGACACATGTTCTCGTGGTCTCTAATCGGAACTTGTCAGCTATTCCGAACTGAACGGGGACATGCAGGTTCAACGTGATTTTTACCCCCAACATTTCTGTATTGTGATTTAGAAGTCCATGAGTATCAGACGAATCCCTGTGTTCTAAATAACATTTCTCTCTCTACCCTTCTGCAAAGCTCTACAGTAAAACATTAACAGAATGCTTGTGCATTATTTAAATTCTCGCTAATAGTACATCCTCAGATAGAGAGACGAGTACACGCTCATGTCCGCAGTCCGTACGGAGCTGCCACCTAACACTGAATGGGAAAAATAAATTAAGTCGTTTTTCATATGGCATGCATACGTATAAACACGCACAACTAATATGCATATTTTTACGGCACTGAATGTGTACTTTTCAGGCAAAATTAAAGATATTATTGTAGGATGACACCGCGTAACCTAGACAATCAATCATAACGATCTACCAAAATATACGGCGTCATGTTGGTACGTACAAGGGTATAGAGCATGACGATACCTAAATCACCACCAATTGGTGAAAGAGCAGGGGTGTGATTGGCGAGTTTCGTGCTGTAAGTGACAGTGGTTGATCAATGACACGACCTCCACTCACCTCCAGGTCTGTCTTGTTTTCCGAACCCTCAACAAAACAGACTCCTGGAGAGACGATGCCTGCGACCCGCTCCCCACCAACACTGTTACCCCCCTTCATTGCGTAAAGCAGGAGCAGTAATTTCACTATGCAATCCTGCGGGTGGCCTAATGGCTCTCAATGTGTGTTTGTATGCATAGGAAAGAATGGGGGTTCGGTAGCATGGCAAGGGGTTGGGGGGAAAATGACTCACATAACACACACAGACGTACACATATACCCTCCGTAAAAGGATAACAGTGGCAACGGCGGGGGGGGGGGGGGGGCGGACGAAACAGGAGATAGANGGGGAAGATGCAAAATAGGATTAAGAGAAGCTAGTATGGCCTGGTATAGAATTGCATGGTGTTTAGAAGGGGTGATGGTTGAAAAGCCAATAATCCAACAAGGTTGGGGACAATTTCTTCTTATTCCTTGTAAAGTGTACGGACAGAGATCGCCCCGCTCCTTTATAATCCCCACTTAGCTCCGAATACAACGTTTATATTCACCTGCTATCACAATGCCTCGATGCGTTAAATGTGTTTCAAAAAAATATGTGGACCTATGAACCATATACGGTGAAGCTCGCAGCCGTTTTTATTTGGTTCACGTAAAGATTCTGAATAATAACTCAAGGCTGGGGTTCGAATCCTGGGTGAGAAACGATTTTTCTCTTCTCTATAATATTTAAACCGGCTCCGTTGCCCACCAAGCTTCCTGTCCAGTGGGTTTCTGGCGTTATTTTCCCGAGGATAAAAAGACGTGAAGCTGACCACTCACCTCCACCTAGTTCCGAAGTCAAGAATGGTGGAGATATACCTTCACTGCTCCATACGTCTTCATGTCATAGTGCTTAATTAATACAGGGACAATTTTACCTTTTTTGTATTCCTACAACGTAACATTCAATGCAACTGATACTGAAGATGAAAATGTATTCTCTTGTGATGCCCATTTACGAGTATATAAAGACCAAAACTTTAAATTGTGTCGGAACTCGCTTTCATTACGTTCATAATTTGAAGTGAGTTTAATCAATCAGCAGCGAGGAAGTGATTTATTTCATTCGAGATCTCTGTCGCATTACTACTAACATGGTAAAGGTCGGCCGCGCCATAGCTCAAGCGGTCAGTGGCTGGTTTCCCACCGCGGCGGCCCGGGTTCGATCCCGGGTCTGGTCAAGTGGGACTTGTGGTGGACAAAGTGGCGCTGGGGCAGGTTTTCTCCGAGTACTTCGGTTTCCCCTGCCAATCTTCATTCCACCAATTGCTCCACAATCACCCTCACCTATCATCTGGGGCTGGTACAATAGGCCAGAAGTGGCCGCAGCACAAGGGACTTAGTCCCACCCCACTAGCAATAAAAAAAACATGGTAAAGGTAAAATTGGCCGGTCACTGCAGCCGAGCGGTCTAAGGCATGTACTGTCTTCGCTCGCTTTGAAACCGGGGTCGTGGTTTCGAATCCGACTCAGGGCATGGATGTTTAGTTTGTGTGTGTGCGTTTATCTGTGTTTGTGTACAGGTAGAGGCCTTGCGACGAGCTGATCACCCGCCCAAGGAGTCCTACCGAATGTGTAAGATCTAGAAAAACCGAAGTGAACGGAGAAGTTCATGGAGGTAGGCCTAGGCCCACCGGAGCTGTAGAGTCAAGGGGAAGAAACAAGGTAAAATTGTCCCTATGTTTAACTAATTAAGCATTATGCCATTAAAGTACATGGGGGAGTAGTTGGAGGTGAGTGGTCAGCTTCACGCCCCGGTCACTTTACCCCCGGGGGGAAAGAGCCCCAGGATAGGATAGGATAGGAGGTTGAGTTGAGCCCAGAGTCGGTCTGGACGATGTGGAGAAGAAAAAATATGTTGACCCTTCCGGGACTCGAATCCTGTCCCCTCAGTCTTCCAGCTCGTAGCTAGTCGCCATTCCGACTGCGCTAACCCTAACATGTGGAGGTGAAAATGAATGCAACTTCATTTCTTAGATAAATTACGGTAACTTACACTACCGTGACCCCAGAAACAAATGTGCGACTCACCAAAACGGATGTCCATATACTGATCTGTTTACTTGCTAAGGGCTCTGTGTACACATATCCGATCGCATCACAATGTCCAACATTGAAAATACAAAATACGATCCCAATAAACTATTCTAAATATGTTTTCATTAAAAGGACTGCAGCTGATGACAGAGAGACTATTATAAGCATGTTTTCTGGCCGATAGAATTTATACTAACTTTTTTTTAATTCGCTTAGTGGGGGGTGGAGTCCAGCTGGGTTCACTCAGAATGTCGGCCACTTATTGGCCTATTGTACCTGTCCCGGGTGATTATGATGATGGAGAATTTGGTGGAATGAAGTTTGGGAGGGGAAACCGAAATACTCGGAGAAAACCTACCCCAGCGCTACTTTGTCCACCATAAATCCCACTTGACCAGACCTGGGATGGAACCCTGGCGGCCGCGGTATGAAGCCAGCGACTAACCGCTTGAGCTACGGAGCGGCCTGGAAGTTATACTCTGAGCGGGTTATCGGCGCACCGTGATA